ATTTGGAAAAATCAGAACCTAGATCTTAAATATTTTCACACAATTTTGGTCATAACTATATTAATAGATTTATTTTTTGATTTAAATGAGTCACAACAACATAAATATTAAAAGATTATAATGAAACAGTTATTAAAATAATTAATTTAGAGATAAAGCGATCCAGATTATTAGTAATTATTCAAATTGATTGGAGTTGAATGATTTAATGGATTATTGTAGGGTTGTAAGACTTAAGTATGAGTGTTATGTGTTATACTTACACAAAGAGTTGCAAGAGCAATAGTTGTTTATAATAAATAAAGTTATGTCCCTCTTTTTACAAATAATTATTTAAAAATAACTTATCTTGTTTAATACATTATATTATTACAGTTTTACGTTCATAGAAAAATATTTAGACAGTAGAAGATTTATGTTTGATTTTAATATTATTATTATTATTACTTTTTTTTTAAATTAAAAATGTAAAATATTTGCAAAAAATTGTTTGGATTTTATGTTAAAAATATAATGCGTAAATCTTAAAACCCTCAGTTGAAATTGTCGCGAATTTTTTTATTTCCTTAGGTTTTTTGTTTTGTACTTTAAAATGAAATGAATTTACTATAGCACAGTTTTTCAAGAAATTATATGGAATTATTAAAAATATTTAATAATCTGACTTATTATAAAAAAATTCAACTTCTTAAGTCATGATTTATAGCCGTATAGTAAGCTTGTTATTTGAGAAATGCACAACTTAATTTACGTATATTAAGTTACGAAAACAAATTAAGTTATAAAATTATTATCAGCATAATCTATCTGAAATGATAATTTATCATAAATTATATTTTAATTTCGAGTATACTTTTCTTTTCACCACAAAATTAATAACATTATTAAGTAGATGCTTATTTAGTTACAACTCGTTTACCTAAAAATAAATTAGTCAAACCAATATAGTTTATGTGATCACAATGATTGAAGGTCCTTTATTTAAACATTAAATAGTATATTGTAAACAAATTTATGCCTATAAGTTAAAGTTTTTTTTTTTTTATTAAAGTAGAAAAAAATATACAATCTGTATCACATAATACAATAAGTAATTTAGATAACATTTTTACCAGTCTGGACGGCTTGAGGGAAGGGAGAGTCCATTGACACTACTTCCAATATGAACTTTAATAAGTTAAAGTTATAGGTGATGAAGGTATTTATGTAATAATATTTATTTAATTTATTCAAAACACTAAATTAATTAAATTTAATCAGAAACCAACTATTCTGTTGTTTTGTAGATTTCGTTTGTCCTTCCTTATTGAATAAAGGCCCGTATTACAATATTTGAACTCTGGTTAAACCACGGAATTCAGCCGGTAAAACTATGATTGTAAAACGGGTCCTAAGTCACTGTCATTGACATTATATTATGTTAAATATTTAAAATCTATACAAATTAGCACCATACGTTTATATCATAATAGTTATGTATAATATGAAAGGTATTATTAAATTTATTAAGCAATAGTGATTCTTAGCTAGTGATAATTTTTAATTATTACAATATATTTATTTTTTTAATTGGATAATTTAGAAAAAATAATCATAAGGTTATTTTTTTAATATTAATAATTTAATTATAACAAAAGATTGAAATATATTTTTGAAGCTGCAATATATACACTTAAATAGTATATCATATTAATAATTTAATTATAATCATTCGATTAAATATTTCATTTAACTTAATATATGTGTTTTATTATATTGAAATTAAATAGGTAGTTTCACAAAACTATTAATTATTTTTTAATTAATTATTCCAATTTAAACYATTTATTATTACCCTCCAATATCTTCATTTTATAGCAATTATGATGTATTAATATATAATATACACAAAAATCAATCAATCTATTTAATTTTTTTATACTTATCGTATAAGTTAAAATAGGTAGATATCAATACCACACATACAATATGTGCCAATTTGAAATCCAAACTTTCAATTCACACAAAATCAATGTAATATAAATCTCTGTTAAAGCTCATTTGAACAGATAGTGTACACATCTGGGACCGTATCAAACCATCTCAGAGCTTTGCTTGTACACAGACTTATATCCAACATATTGGTTCTATCCCTGACAAAATATAATATAATGACTCTCTAGAGACTAAGAATATAAAAATAAAAATTGTTCACTGACTAGCAACCAAATATCACGGAAAATGATGTACTCAATTTCACATCTCACTCCAATTAATTTGTCAATTAGTATTTTCACTCCAAAATAAATAAACCGGTAATCATTATTATTATTACTATTATTATTATAATCATTTAATTAATTATAATCAAATAAATATTATTAAAACCTTGAACATAATATTTTTAGAGCTAAGTTACTATAGTCTGTATAGAATTATGCTGTGTGACAGTTTTATTTTTTATAGAATTCACTTTTGTTAATTAATCCGTGAAATATATGTTTGTTGCATAAAAAAGTCATATTTTCATGAAGAAAACAAAATACAAAATGTTTATTGTGATAATATGACGAATTATTTATATTTATTTTTATGTAATTAAATATGTGAAACTAAAACACCATAGTATATAATAAAATAATATTTACTTACAAATTGATAATTTGTTTATACGTTCTACTCGACATTTGATAATAATGTATGCGATTCTATTAATATTCTAAATTATAAAGTGATATATTTTATAAGTTAAGAACTTAGTTAAGTTAAAAAGTCTCTGCACCAGTTGTTTTTGAGGCGTCTTTAGAGTTGTTAGGAAGAGTCTTAGAGGCCAGTTGAGAGATGAGATGGTTGTCGTTCATGAGGAGTTTCCTATGGAGCCTTTTGTAGAAATCGATGGCTGTGCCGTAGACTGTTTTGATTTGGAGGTCGATGTAGAGTAGTTTGTCCGTTAGGTACCATGAAGCTTTGGTAATGATACGCAGACAAATTGATTGAAATGCTTGGATCGTTTGAGTATTTCATTTTTTAGCTGGACCCCAAAGTACGATGCCATAAGGTTCGAAGGAGGCATTTGTATATAAGGACTTTGTTTTGAAGTATGATATTAAATCTTAGTAATGGTCTAAGAAGGTGAAGTCTACTATACAATTTTTTTCATTTATGCTTGAGGTGAGGGCCAAAAGTAAGTTTTCTATCAAGTATGATACCGAGATATTTGACTTGCGTGTAATAAGGAATGGTAGAATTGTTCATGATGATCGGCGGACAGTCATGTTTCTTAGGGAGAAGGTAATATGCGATGACTTGGTTTCATTGATTTTATTTCCCCCACATTATTTTTTTATTTTTTTTTTATTGATCAAAGTACATCGACAACTGGGCCATTAGTAAAATAAATTTTTTTTGTTACATTTTTAGTATTTTATGTATACATTTTCTAGATTAAATTAAATTGTACAATTCTGTTTTTTTAAGAATAAAATTAAGTTTTTTMCCCACATTATTATTTTGTTATATTCAATCATCTTTATGAATAATAGCTTTCCGAATTTTTATTTTCGTTTTTTAGAATCTAGTAATTAAAAAAAAAAAACAACTTTTGTAGTGTTTTCCAAAACTTTGTCAAAATATTTCAAAATACAGTCAACTCTCAATAATTTAAACCTTCAATAATTCGAATCTTTGGGAATTCGAAGTAAATGCTTAGTCCCTTGAAAATCACGCGTCAATTCTAATAAAAACAATACATTTAAGTACACTCGGCAATTCAAAATTAAATTTAGGTAAAACTGGACACTAACACGTGATATTTCGAAGTATCGTCGGTTTAAAGCTTGGTAATTCGAAGTTCATTCACWAAATTTAAATAATTATAAAAAAATGAAACTAAATTCGATGAAGTAGAAAACCATTAGAGATCTCTTCAAAAAATAATTATCTTTTATTATAATAATTTAATTTACAATTTAAAAACAATATATAAATCTAATATTTTAATATTTACCACCTGATTTTCTGAAATAATTAATAATTAATATGTATAAAACTAAAAAGAAATTTTTTTCTTAACTCTCAGTAATTAGAATTTTTTTGCTMTCTCGTTACTTTGAACTACTCAACAATTCGAACCCTCGGTAATTCGAAGTTTTTCAAAAGTCCGTAAACTTCGAAATATCGAGAGTTGACTGTATATTATTTTATACGTAATAATTAACATCAGCATATTATGATGTAGTTACGCACTCATACTGTTTTATTAAAATGGAAATTGAGACATGCCATCAAGGAAAATAATGTCTCAACTTGTGCTAATTTATTAAATTAGTTGTTCTACACAAATCTACTTTAGAACTATAATAATCGATAAAAAAAATAACCATTGTATATATATTTTTTTTTTAGATCTTACAGATTACTACAGAAGAATGAAAATAGCTTACATCACGAATCACTAAAAAATAGGTAATTTTCCACAAAATTATTAAGAGAAATGTAATATACAATATTAGATAATAAAGGATTTACATTTTTATGTATAGGTATGTCTTATGATGTGCCATTTGTAAACACSACAAATACGATTATAAATACAACAGCTTGTATTTCATTGCATTTTCATGGTCAGAATATAAATAGTTCTCTTACTAGTTGTAGGTATTTGTGGTGTTTACGTTGGACACGGAGTATTATGATACCAGCTATAGGTACCTATAGTAGATACATAGTTCAATAAGTAACTTACAGAAATATAGAATACAATTGGAGTAGTTAAGAAAATTTGTAGAAATACCATTTTTATTGTTTTCAAATTAAAAAGTTTTTTTTTAATCAGAAATATATTATAACTAATAATTTGTATAATACACTAAGATATAATTAATATAAAAACACACACACACAAGCGCGTCCGCACGATTGGAAACGGTCATTAGACTAATAAGGATTGATAAACGATTGTTATAATAAGATGATAAAATATTATATCTAATACCTAAATAGGTGCATCAGTGTTATCTGTTATTACTATATGTAGATAAAAAGATTTGGAATCAATAATTAAACAGTTTTCAAATTGTTTGAGTATCTTATATAAGTACTACTTATATACTGTTTATATATATAATATGTGGTGAAATATATACACTGATCATAGATTCCAATACGTAAAATATAAATAATGGATATGTAGGTTAATAATATATTTAATATTCTGAACAAAACGATTAAATCGTTATTTGTTCAAAATTATGTGTGTTTTTTTTGTCTTTGCTCACATTTATAAGTAAATAAAAAGCTTACATTTTAAATATAGAGGATAGTTTCAATTGGTTGACAATTATAGTTGTTTAAGTTAGTCGGAACTTTGAGTCAAAATTACAACAAAACTTTTCAATATAACCGGAAAACTTTAAAATAAATTACAAAAACCAACTCTTTTTTTTTTTTTTTTTTACAAGCTTTTAAAGGATGAATTTTTGAAATTATTTTATCTTAGTAACCTACTCAATAATTTGATATACTCGAAACTTACATATATATACTTTGCTATAAGAATATAGGCCAGATGCGTTTGTTTGTGAAAATAACTGCAGAAAATTCGTGGAATGTGTTACACTTTTTGAATATATCTGGAAAACATTATTGGTTTTTCAGACGTACTTTTTTATATTTGTAAAACACCTTTTGGTGAAAAATGTTTTCAAAACTTTACATATTATTCGATTGAAAAACGGACACAAGTGGTATAAAATTAGGATACGTATAAGTCTGAATTGTAAAACTATGTATAACTTTTCTATTAAATTGCAGATTTGTATTATATATTTTATAGTTTTCCGTATATTATTATTGTGTTATTATTATTATTGTTTCACAACAATATGCAACARTTATTTATGTCTTTATAAGCTTTAAAAATGTAAACTACAAATTTATTCACGTTTCCTATTTCAAAATAAAACTGAAAACTTCATTATTAAGTATAACTATTTATAATATTATATTATAATATAATAATAATCTACTAGAAAATTAAAAGTAATGAACATTTCTAATATATCTGAGTATCTGATCCAGCTGTAAATTAGTTTTTGTCTCAAAGTACTTACATATTTACAATAGGTATTATGTTTTTTTCCTTTTATAAAATATTTTTTAGTATATTCTATATCAATRAACCGACGGTTGACAATACTTTAAAATAATTAAGGTGGTTTGGTTCATTTGAATGAWTAAATATATGTATGCGTTATATATTCCAGGATATAATATTATGTCACATTGCTTGTTGTAGGAAATACTATAAAAATATATGAAATACCTACTTATAAAATTTAATTGATTTATATTAATTTGTCAACTTAAAAAATAATATATATGCTGTGTATCAATACTAGTAACGAAAATATACTATAAGAAATTACACATTTGTTTATCTCTTTAAGATATTTAAAAAAAAATAACGGACATGATAAAATAGGTACCTAAACAAGTTAATAATGTTTAACATGATTTTTATTGAACACAATGCAATAATTTAAATTAAATAAATTATCATATATAACTACATTTAAGTAAGTTTGAGTTATAAGATGAAAAGCGTTCAATTGTAAATACTAAAAAAGTTAAACATGTAAAACAATCAATATATTGTAAAATAAATCCTCGAGTACCTATTAAATTTATAATAAAAATACTTAAAATAATTACAATCAATAATAAGTATATATTTATGCTAATAATTGAAAATGATTAATTTACATATTATTACAATGAAAATATAATTGAAAATCTTCATAAATTATTGTTATTGTTTAATTTGTAATGACGACTAGAGTTCTAAATTTATTGTAATGTTATTAATTTTCTTTTACAATTTAAAATTAAACTTATTCTATTTTCAAAATTAAAACTTACCTAACCTACTATATAGCAACTATCTAAGGTATCATGATTTGCTAAATATTTTAAGATTCAATCGTCATCAATTTTTACTTTTTAATAATAAAACACTATAATGCTTGAAAATAAATTGTGACAACGACATTTTGATATTAAAAAGATAAATGTTTAATCTTATCCAAAATCACCTAATTGCAAGTTGAAAAGAAAATCACACTCGCGTGGACAAACTTTTCACTACTGTCTTCAAACCTTTTAAATTTTTTTTTTCATTTTATATTTTTTTAAATATCTATATTAATTAAATTGTTATTAAAATAAAAATAAATTTACATATTTCACACATGATAATAATAATATTATACAGAATGGAACATGAAGATCTGACAGATGAAATAACTTTTATTTTAATCAATATTTAAAATTTTCTCTTTTCTTAATTTATAGCCATTGCAGGAATAATATTATTATATCATTTTTTTTAAACTGAAAATAAAAAATTTAATTTGATTTAATTTTTTTTGTTTGGAAAAATTCAAAAAAGCCAATTTATAAGAACAATTTTGATGGCAAAAACATTAATTGAAGTCTAATAGTTTATTTTTTAGAATTTTTYACAATATCAATATTTATGAGTCAATTAATTTAAAACGTACTAACATATTTCAAAATATTATTTTTGCGAATTTCCTCACATGAGTATATTTCTTAATTATTTTTTAGCCATATAGTTTCCACAATTTTTGGTTTATGCGTAAGTAMCATAATTTTTTTCAGGTCTTCCTGTTACACCCTGTATTATAGTTATTTAAACGGACTTGGTCAGTTATTATTTATTTTTAAATTAGCATTAAACAAATTGTTAAAATGGAAAAATTATTATTTTATACCGCCTTATCATACAATAAATGCCTTAATTATTTTTTATAACTTATGTCTATTGCCTATTATATGGGTTCTATATTTAAATTGTATTGAACATGTATATCACAAAAAGGTTACATAGTATGGTGTTATTCAACGGACTATTGTAAAATGCATAATACATCTAGGTATCACTAGAACAAATAAATCGTTTAAACTAAAGTAATTCTACTCAATGGTAGGTATATATATCAACTCCAACACAATTTTTCTTATGGTAAAATCAAGAAGCTAATACCAGTGTGAATAAGATATATCGATATATGCATAATACCATACGGAGCGCATATAAAATATGTTTATGCTTTTAAAGTTCCATGTTCAATAAAGTTTTAAAGAAAGCTTATGTTTTTAAAAATAATGAAGAGTCAGTATCAAAAAAACTTAGCAGTATTTTGAATAATATTATATAATAATATATAAGAAAATGGTCATTATATGCAAAGGTATTTTTATATGTTATATCACTCGTAAAAATTATTTTCAGTCTAGCAAATACTCTTTATTAAATATGAATTATATAAAATATTATGTATCGCTTATAAAAATTAACAACTTATCAAATTAAAATTCTAAAAATCTTTATTTTTCTCGTTCTATAAATATAAAGCTGTTTATATTTCAAGAGAAAGTAAAAACATACAAAGAAAAGCCACCATTTTAATTATTTTTACGCATGTTAAATTATTTTTTATATTGTGTAAATTTACCTTGAATAAATAACAAAATGTAAATTTATGTGTTTCAATGCATTCATACTCACACACCTTTTGAGATAAGGTAACGGTTGAATTAACATAGGTTCGTACAATCAGACAAATATAATTCCTTCCAGTTAAAGATTAGTCTTCTATCTACTTCCTGTAATATCAAAAATTACATTAGAAGTTAGGACCTAGCGTACAATTGTAATATATGAGTTCGTGATATATATATATTTATAACCTGATTCTAGAAAGTATCGAAATAGGTATCATATTATAATATATGTATAATTATAACAGTTTAATAATTTTAATTTTTTTCTTTTATGCCACTTAAGTTATTATAATATTACAGTATTATTGAAACATTTTAATATGACTCTTTTGATTTTTTTATTGATGATATAATAGAGAAACTGAACAGAACTCATTGATTCAAAATATATTCTTGCTAAATAATTCATATTTGTAGTACATGATATRTGTAAAAGTATCTGATTTAATAATTATTTAATAAAAATTATAAATATATAGAACTGATGTTTTTAAGTATTATCATCAACATAAATAGGTACATATATTTTACACATGACCTTAGAATATTATTCCTCTAATGTAAAACTGTTCCTAAAGCATTTAGTTTGAATTAACACTCAGGTAATTCAACATATTTTGCAGATTCCCATTTCGAAAATTTACTCTGTTATAGTATATATTATTAAAGAGGAAATTTAATCACCAAATTATTTTTGTATAAAAATGCATACGTTATACAAACTCAAAACACAGAAGGCTTCAAAGATCCGTATCTCCTTAGGCATGAACTTGGCCAATTAACATATTTATATACCGTTTTATTTACTAATGCATGTATGTAAAAGACAATTCTGAATTAATAGCATAAATGCAATAAAAAAAAAACAGGTTAGTGGG